GCTATTTGTGTGGGGTGTGGATACTATAGCCATTGATGGCAATTTGACAAGATTGATGACACTTTCAGCTGAACTGCGCGCGTTTTTGTAAACGTTTTTTAATTGTCTGGCCATCATTTAATTAAGCTGAAAGCCGTTGGCAGGCGGACAAGCAAACTGAACGAAGGCGATCAAGCGAGAGCGGAGCGGCTAGATATCGATAGTTAATCGCTAATTCGATATGTTTGGCCGGACAGTGTTTACATATGCATTTAGCGAAAACTGGTGCATAAATTAAGCTGGCAGGAAGCAGCCAACCAGTTGTAAATTGTTGATGTTGTAAACATGTTGATTAAATGCTGATGAGCTCATCCACTCACTAGTTGCATGTCAAATTATTTATGCAGTTACTGTATACACAACTTATTTTTGTTATATTTGCAAGGTTACAGCCAAAAACTCAACTGATTCGGATTCGCAGCAGCAGCAGCAGCAGCTCTTGTGCTTGAAATTACAATCGGAATTGGAATCGAAATATAATTTGAATTACCCCCCGCCGGCGCCGCAATCATCCATGAGCTGTGCTGCTGAGACCCCAGCGGCTGGCTCTGGCCTGATTGGCATTCACAGCGCTGCGTCGTGAGCTGCACAATAAATTTCCATAATTGCCCGGCGTCCGTTAGGTGTTGACACAGCTGAGGTGGCCAGGTGGGTAGGTGGGCAGGTGGGCGATACTGCCAGGCGGTTAGACGCACCAGTATTATGCTAAGCAAATCAAGTGCCGCCGTTGATGTTTATTGCATGCGTGAGTTTTATGCCCAAATAAAATTGCTTTAAGTGACTTTTAAAATCCCCCACAAAAAAGCAGAGACTACAAGACCTTTGGAAATGACCAGTGGACACGAAATTGAAATGCCAGCCAAGAGAAGGTCAGGTTTGGGCACGTGGCACCAATTGAGGCAGACAAACCCAAAGCTCTCAATGGAAATTGTCTTGCTGCTAACCGGCTGGGCATGTAACTGAAACTGTTCTCAATCAAATGTGTTTACAAGTGTAAGTGTGTGTGTGTGTGCCTGTGTGTGTGTGGGTCTCCTATTTCCGTTTTTGACAGGGGCAAGCCCCGAAAAGTAAAAGATTGAATGTCAAGTGCGAAACACAAAATATTTACTATTTCATTTATGTTTGCAGATGTGCTACTGCTGTAGGAAATAGGCCTGCTTGAGTCTTACGAACAGTGTTGAGCAACGTTTGCATTTCATAGATATGGCCAGTTTTCTATCGGCCATCTTTAATTTGCATGTAATTTCCGTTAGTTGTTTGGGATTTTGAGTGATTATATTGTCAAATAATTTGCAAAGCTGTGGCACCTGCTAATCTAATCAAATCTAATTGAACTGGAATTATGGATAAATATTAAATGTATGGGATTATGCAAATCCATTTATTTTAATTAATATCTATTTTTTGTTTAATCGAGAATATATGAGTACATCCTACTGGAATTATACAGTTAGAGAAATGTAGTTGAATATTCTTTTCTAATTATTTCTTTTATGGAAATTTGCTATGATATATATATATTAAACAATTTAATGCGTAATTTTTGACAAATTTATCAGCGCTGTAAATTAATGCTTTAAGGCCTTAAAACCAGCTCTGCTTAAATATTAAAGCGTGCAAATTGAATTTAAGCGACGGGTCTCATTAATAAGGTCTCAATAATAAGGTCTCGCCGTATCAAAAGGACCTTCTTTAACTTTTTGGCTTCTGAGCTGAATCGTAATATGATTTACAGCTCGACGCACTGCGAATAATACGAAATACATTACAAAATTGCAAATTTATGACTCGACACATTCGTTATTCCGTTTTCCATATGCTGGCTCCGTGTAATAACGGGGGACACGAGCCACTATCATAAACAACATTCAATTGTCAAGCTGATAACCTCTTTATACCTCCATTTCTATTTCTATATATATATATATATTTTTTTTTTTGTGCGTACTTGAACTTTGATACATATGCCAGAAATGATTATTTACTTGTTATTGCGATATAGTTATCTGCAATATTTGTTCTATTATTTGTTTTTCCAAAAGAGATTTTTTCCGTGTGTTTGGGCTTAATGCATCAGCGAGCGACGTGGGAAATTATGCAAATGTGTCGCAAATTGGATGACGATGACCATAAACAACAGCGCTTATCGATGACAGCAGCAGCAACAACAGCAACTGAAATGACAGTCACACACACACACACACACGCACATGTTGACTAACAAGGCTTTTGCTGCTGGTCCAAAAAGGACCCTCATCAACACAAAATCCAGCTGCCCGGCGTCCCTTTTTTTTTTGCTGGCTTGACTAATCTTTTGCGTCTTGTTGGTATTTGTTTACACAGCGAATTAGTCAATTTTTGATTTAGTGCCAGCAACTCCTTTTATTTTATTTATATATATATACATATATATATTCTTTATCAATTTGGAAAATTTTTTGTCTTTTGTTTTGCTGCCGTTGGCGAACGCGTTTTTTGCGCAACTGAAAATTTGTACAAAATTGACTAAGCGTCCTGCTGCTGCTGCTGCTGCTGGCTAACAGCGCGGGGAGGGGAGAGGGGGACGGGACAGGACATTCAGCGTTTTGTTTGCTCGAGTGTCCTGCCAGCTCAAATTGCACAGAAAACAATAAGCAAAACAGAGTCACAAAACGGCAACCAATCGAAGGCAGTAAAAAAAAACAAAAAAAAAAATGAAAGAGAAATGTTGTTGAGCAATGCTGAAAGTAGTATTGGAAGGTATGGCAGGCAAATAGAGCTCATTAATCGGTTTAATGGCCCCAGGACTTGGTGTTCTCTGTTCATCGAACTTCAGCAACACGCCAAAAAAAAAAAACAAAGAACAAACTCTTTCCAACTTTTGAGTTATGTATAAAGCACTCGAGCTGAAAATATCTCTATGTACATATATATATATATAGCTATTTATGTGTATTTGTGTGTGTGTGTGTGTGTGTGGCCTCCGTTTTGCGGTTTTTGTGTTGGCCAAATTGACAACACACCTCAAAAGCATTACAACAACCAAGCCAATGTTTGAATGCGGGCGGGTTGCTTGATTGTATTGTGTGGTTCCTGATGCCCGCCCAGCTGGCCGATTGGGATGGCTTGGGTTGGCTTCCACTAGCTCTTTGTTTTTGGTTTGGGCTGCTCTACTACCATTTGTATTTATTTCACTGCGTTCTCGTTGTTTCGCGTCCCGCTCCGTTACCTCTGCCGTCATTTATGAAATGGCATTGAAACTGTTTGGTGTTTCTGTTGCTTTTGCCGATTCTCTGTCTGTTTCAGTTTCATTTTCAGTTTCAGTCTTTGTGGCTGCCTTTCACTTTAAGCGACGTGTGTGTGTGTGTGTATGTGTGTCTCAATGCTCTTATCTATCAAATTGGTCGTCGGCCAAGATTCCGATTCCCCTCCCTTGCCCGCAGCTCGACGTGACCAGCTGATATGGCTGTGGTCAGTCGGCGCTGAGCCTCGGAGCCTTTTTACTCACTTAAGTATTTATAGCTTGAGGGTCAAATTAAGTTCTAAACAGACCTTTATTTCTGTACATTAATTTTTTTTTTTTTTTTTTTTGTTATCTTCTTTACTGGGACAAGGTCTAAATAATGTAATTATCCAAGCTTTTTCAAATTGGAGTTGCCTCGAATAAGACATGGGATTTAGGGCGTTCTTTGTGGACCTTAATGTTTGACTTGAATGGCAGTAAGTGTTGGAAAATGTTACAAAATTATTTATTATAGTATTTATGTTGAGAAAGTTTTTTACTTTAGGGGTCAAATTGAAATTGAAATAAATATTTTTAATATTTTAATTTATATGAAAAATTATATTTTTATTACACATTTTTTTTTAATTTTTAGTATTTTTTTAATGATCCAAAAATTTGTCGAGCGTCAAACTCTTTTTATTTATATTTATTTTTATTTATATAACTATTATACTATATTATTATCTAATATTCCCCTAATATATTGCTTAACCAATCTTGGCTTCTTTGCCAGCGTATGAAATTGTCGACTTAGTGTCGCACTCTCTGTGCGTTTCATCATTTTTATTTATGTAATTTGACACGTGCTAATAAAAATTTCTGTGGCCATACATAAATGGCAGTCAGCTGCCAGCGAGCTCCCAGCATGGAGTATGAAAGCATGATGGCTTCGAGCTTCGAGCTTGGAGCGTGGTCGGCCGACGCGTCGGCTACGTGACAATAGAGGAAGTAATTAAAACGCGATTTACGGCAAGGTCAACTTTATGAAGGTCTGCAGTTCATTTGCATGGCAGACATGGGTTACGGACGCACACGAAAAAAAAAAAAAAAAATTAATAAAATAGCGCAAAAAAGAAAGAACTTGGGACTCGGCCGCTGTCTCTCACTCTCTCTCTCTCTCACACACACACAGACACACAAATTAAATGATGCGGGTGTAGCAAGTGATATTGGCACTGTTCCTTTACCTATGCCCCTCTCTCTCTCTCTCTCTGCTCAGTCATAAAATGTAGCATAGTGTTGCACTCCCACTCCCGCCCACTCTCTGAAAGGCAGAAAGAAGTTACTGTCACTCCTCCACTCTCTCTATCTCTGTCCCGCTCGCTCTTACAGCGCTGCCCGCAGCTTGGCTCGTGCCATTGTTTTATTGTTATTCATATTGCTGTTCCTGTTTGTTGTTGTTGTTGTTGTTGTTTTGTGGTTGTCGCTCTCGATGGCGTCAATCAATTAGCGCAATTACTTAATTACGGCCCACATAATTGAATTGGCCGAGCGTCCTCAGAGTTATGACCGGGCCAAAATGAAAATGAAAATGAAAATGAAATTCATGCAACAAATGCTTGTGTGTGTGTGTGTGTGTGTCTGCGCTAGAGCATCGCAGTGCTTATCTCTCGTATCTCTGGCTATTTATCTCGCACTTCATTAACCAACGCCTCTTGTATATGTGGCATATTAAATTACGCATACGCCGTGTGATTTATGTGATGTTAAGACTCGTTTCGATTGAATCGATGCCGCGCCGCGCCGCACTTGTACTCACTTGTATCAGTTTCCTGCCATTCTCCAGATAGTTGGCGTCGCTGGCACGTGGCTGGGTTGACTTCTGCTCGGCCAGGTCAATTGCCTCTTCTCTGTTATCCTTGGCAAAGCCGACCTCATCGAACGGCAGCTCCCTTTGCCTGCTCACCTTATGCTGGTGTTGGTGTTTGTATTGGTGTTGGTGTTGGTGTTGATGTTGGTGCTGGTGCTGGTGCTGGTGTTGGTGCTTCATCTTCGCCTCCTCCTCATCAGCATCATCATCGTCTTCGTCGTCATCATCGTCGTCATCATCATCATCATCATCATAGTTTCTGCGCTGCCAGCTGCTGTTGTTGCTGCAGCTGCTGCGCGGATAGTGTAACTGCTGTTCATCCGGCTCAGCGCCGTCGGTTGGACCCATGGGCAACGGCATTGCCGTTTGGTTGGCAATCAAATGCTTGCGCGGCAGACACACGCCGCCCTCCCCGCCGACTGCCGCCAGCGTCGGCTGAAATGGGGCGTAGAGGCCGCCGCTTACCTCCAGCTCCTCGTGCGCCGGATTGCAGCTGGAGGGGCCCAGCTGGGCGGGCGCCGAGGCGACGGGGCTGACAAAACGTGTCGTGCGATACATAGGACGGGAGAGGCTGTAACCGCAAAAAAAAGAAAAGCAAAACAAAACAAATAATAAAAAGGGGGCGTGCCACAATCAAATAAACTTGATGTAGCCATTCGCACTCACTTGTAGCCGTATTTGGGCGATTCGGTCTCGGGGCGGCGTCTGCTGGACATCATTGTGTTGACCCGATCTCCGCGGGCGGCTGCCATCATATAAGTCCACATTGCGGCTCATCCACGGCCGTGCTACGCTAAGCACATGGTGCACGGTCCCGGGAAATAGAAAACAGCGTCAGGTAAGAGCGGAGCTGCAACGGCAAAGGCCAACACATTAAAGCACTTGGCGGGACAATTGTGGTTGAAGTGTGGCAATCAAATACTAGCCAGGCCATAAAACTACCGTTTGTGGCCTATGGGGGCGGGGACGGGGGCGTGGGTGGTTACGGTAATTAAGCAATTAAAATGGAGCTCAAGTCGCAGCGCCGCAAGGTATGCAACACGAAAATTGCAGAGCGCAGAGGCAGATCCAGGGAGCAGCATCAAGAGCTCCCGGTGGCAAGTCGCAAGTCGTAAGCTGCAAGTCGCCCGGGCGCCTTTTTGATGACTTCCTGTGGCCATAAAATCAGCATAGAACACTCACTCAGCTTACTTTTATGTCAGCATTTTATTTTGCTCGCTTTATAGTTCTCTGCAGCGACTGCGACTGCGGCTGAGATTGAGACTTTGATTTTGGTTTTGGTTTTGGTTTGGTTGATTTCAAGTGCAGCTGCGCCAGCCAAAGGCTTTAGCATATTTTTATTAGACGATCAGATAGTTATAAACAGTTGAGGGACTTGGCATTTAAGGCGTTTCAATTATAGCCCGAAAGGAGAAGAGCCTTGAGGCGGCGAGTGTGCGAGTTTGAGCAGCGCTGAATTTTGCAGTCGAAGGCTGCTAGAGTTGTAGAGATGTATGTGTGTATAGGTATATATGTATGTGTTTTAACACTCACACTGAAGAGCAATCTTCACACTGCGAATCCTGCTGCGAATGAGTGTCCTGAGCTCGAGACTGTTCCAGAAAAATGACAGCTCTAAAGCGAGCAGCCGAGGCTACTAAACGATTTAGCGCTACTCGAGTGAGTTGCACACTACGACTAGAGTCGAATGATGCCACACTTGTAATCACCGAAATGCTATCCAATGAGCAGCTGCTCGAGGCTAACGAGCGAGAGAAGGAAGGCGCAACACCAGAGGCGACACCAGAGTGCAGAGTGCAGCACACAGCGAGCGCTGTGAGAGGGGGCAACAGTGAGAGGGGGAACAGTGCAGTGCGAGGAGGAACAATGAGAGGAGGCTGTGAGTGTGCAGCAGGAAGAGCTCGACGAAAGGATGCTAAACGCAAACACTTATCCCGGACATAAAAACCAGAGCTAAATCGTAAGTTAAATGAGGCTAATTTTTTTTTATCTATCACAAGCGCTCTCTGGCCGCAGATGCGGTCGGAGCTGAGTCGAGTGTGTGAGTGAAGGAGAAAGGACGAAGGATGCTTAGCGTAAGATACGAGAATTCCAGCATGGCAGCAAGTACCGAGCCCCAACCGAAGAATGGCCAACTTTATGTCGGCATCGAAAAATAAATGAAAAATGAATGAATAAAAAATGAAAAATGAATTGAAATTTTATCCAACTGAACTTTGCGGCTGTCCACAGCTATGGCGTGCAGATAATCCAATTAAGCAGAGGGTATTTATGTTGCAAAATTAATATAATACAAACAATAAACACAAGCACACACACACACACTTATATACACACATATGTATGCGTGTAAAAATAAATTCTTGAATTTCTTTGTAGTCTATGAATGAAAACTTTTTATTTATTCTGGACAACAAGCTGAGCTTTGGTGCAACTTTTTCAATTGTATATATATAATATAATACGCAATACATACATAAATATACAATATATATATATGAAGCTTAGGCTTAGACTGACGTGGCTTGATTAAATCAACTCAACATGCTGATCAGCAATATATACACTGCGCGTCATCAGGTTAGCGCCCCCCTTTACACTCAACCTCAAAGCTAAATAAAATCTAAACYATCAGAGCTCCATCTTTGAAATTTTTTTACTTTATACTCCGTTTATTTCTTTTTAAAATACAAAAAGAATGGCACTGTAACATTAAGGATTATTTTTAAATAATTTTTTTTGTAAAATGTACAAAAAAACATGTAACAAAAATTTGGTCATCAGATTAGCGCCCCCTGCGCTAAATNGTAAGAAAATTGCCACTTAGTTTTCTGTTTTTTCCTGTTTTTTCAGCAATTTTATGGTTGCATAGTCTAGATTCAAAGTATGCCTCAATCTTTGATTTTCAACCAAAGATAAAACTGTTTCTTTACCCATACTATAAATATATTGAATGCTTTGAGCTTCACAAAAAATTTGGTGAGTGTAATTGCCAAAATAAGCAAGATAATTACAATTGCATTTGGGGGCGCTAATCTGATGACGCAAAATAAGTGCACACATTTTTTGCGAAAATAGAAAAGAATGGAAAATAAAACATAACGGGTTTTCACTCGCGCTTTTTTTTGGTATGAGAGACATCTCATATGATGATAATGAAATAAAAAAAAAAACCAAGAAGTTGCGTGCAATAGGCAAAGAGAAAAACGTAAAAGAAAATGAGTGTAAGGGGGGGCGCTAACCTGATGACGCGCAGTGTATGTATACATATGTATTTATACCCTATAGAGACTATAGGCGCCCTCTTCTAACTGTTACATTTAGTTATCAAAAAGCTGAATACCCTACTCCCTCTTTTTGGCACTGAGCATTGCAAAATATGCGCGGCTATTTCTGAGAAAATTTCGTAGCATACTTTTCTGGGCAGGAATAATTGCATTTCAAGTTAACAGGAAAGCAAGCAAATGCTAATAACGTTTCATTGTATGCAAAGTTTACAAAAGCTTTTAAAGCGTTTCATTGAAATTTAAAGTATTTAGAGAAATGGGCTTTTTAATGGTTTAGCAAATTGTTTTCTTTTTTTTCGAGCTGTTTTAAAAATAAACAAAAGTGAGAGTGAGATAATCTATATAAATAAATTTAAGCTCAAATATTTTATGAATGTATTGCTATGAATATAAACTCCTTTAATTCTCCCCCACTGAATATCCTTATCTTAAAACCCAATAAAACAAATATAGAAAATTTTATAAAAATAATCAACAAGCTCAAAATAGACCTATAATGTATATATAATGTAATATAGTATGTAAACAATGTATATAAAGTAAATAATGTATATCATGTAAATAATGCCTGAAGTCGCCTTTGTCGCTCTGGCTTAACAAAAATTGTTATTTATAATTAATTCTTGGTAACAATAAATAAATAAAGTAATAAATAAATTAAATTATTACAAATTATACAAAAAGCTATAGAAAAGTAATATAAATTATATTTATTTTATTTTTATTAACTGCAGCAAGAACTCTACTCAATTTACTCGACTTTCTCAATTATGTCAAATTTATGCATTTTCAAATGAATATTTATGCCTTGACTGCACATGCTAAACATATGTCATATCCAAATAGAACCTTAGCTCAGCTCAACAAATAAAAGGGAACAAAATGATTGGAGTACAGTTCATGACCCCCGCTGGTGCAGAGCGAGCGACTTTATCCAGTTGTCCACGAATGTGTCTATAAATAATGTGCTTTAATCTAGCCGCAAGCAGCATAGACAACAAACTAATGAGGCGCAAATGATAAATACAAGCTGACAGCGCATTCCAGACAAACATAAGCAAAAGCAGAAGAAGAAGCAGAAACTGAAGCTGAAGCTGAAGCAAAAAAATAATAAAGAAAAGAAAACTCGACCAGCTGCAAATGTGAGTCACAGCAACATTTTTTTGTACAAATTGAGCTAAAATGCAAATTGTATAAAATGTGTGTTTTTATTTTCTTTTTTTGCTCATCTCTCTTTCTGCTTTGGCAGATAATCAAAAAACGTGCGCAAAAATTAAGCAAAATGCGAAATTTTCTTTACATAATTTCCACTTGACTAGAGCGTGGAGACTAAACAGGCGGCAAATGGAGGAAGGGCAGCAGTAGCCAAAGGAGCAGGAGTAGCCAAAGGAGCAGCAGCAGCCGCAGCAGCAGCAGCACTGCAGCCAGTCCTTCTTTGTGTGCCTTTTTATACCCTGAACCCATTTTCAATGGGAAATCAGGGTATAATGGTTTTGTTGAAATGTATGTAACAGGCAGAAGGAGGCGTGGCAGACCCCACAAAGTATATATATTCTTGATCAGGGCGACGAGCTGAGTTGATTTGGCCCTGTCCGTCTGTCTGTCCGTCTGTCCGTCTGTCCGTCCGTCCGTCTGTCCGTCTGTCCGTGTGCGTTTGTGTGTGTATGCATGTGTGAGTGTATGTGTGTCGCAGTTCGCAGTTCGTGTCGTGTTTCTTATGTAAGCTGAAAGACGCGAAAAATTATTGAAATATCTATTGCTCCAAGGGTTCAGGGGATCTCGTAGTCGAGCAGTCTCGACTAGAGCTTTCTTACTTGTTTTTTCTTGCCTTTGTCTGGCATTTAACTGTCGCGTGATTTTATGTCATAGATTATCTGTGTAGCTGCACGCTTCAGCTCTTTCGCAGCATTCAATTTTAAGTGCAATTTTTGGTTTGCCAAAAGGAAAAAAAAAGAGGAGCAGAAGACTCCACTCCCATTCCAATCAGAGAGCTGGCTGCAGTTCTGATGAGTCAGTGGCAAAGTCTTTGACCGCATCAAAATCTGAGAAACTTGTATAAAAAAGTAGAAGTCAAATAGGGTGTGAGTGTACGTGTTCGTATGTGTATGTGTGTGTGTGTGACATTCAAAAATGGGCTGGCTAGGTTTGCGCTGGGCAGGATTTTAGACAAAGCAGCGCAGATCAATTTTTAGCTATAAAATCAAAGTAAATCCATTTATCAACTTCAGCAGCAAACAGTTTCGTGCAGATAACAGCAGAGAGAGAGAGAGAGAGAGAGAGAGAGAGAGAGAGAGAGCGAGAGTGAGATAGAGATAGAGACTTGACTTTGATAGAATGCAGCAACGGCTACAACAGCAGCAGCAGCAGCAGCAGCAGCACGCACTTGACCAAGTTTTTAAGGCCAAGTGCCTTAGAGCCATTAAATACTTGTCGAGCAGCTTTAGACAAACAAATTGTTGAGGCCCATCGAGGCACGGTTCATAACACGCCCAATCAGCCCAGCCGCAAAACGTAGCAATTAACGCTTGRGCTGCAGCCAGCAGCCAGCAGCCAGGACGAAACAAGGACTCACTTGGCATCAGATTACACATCATCTGGCTGGTCTCTGCTGTGGCCCGCTGTGTTGTTGATGCTTTAGCTAAATCGTTTGACTCGACTTGGAATTGCTAACGAGCTATAAATGGGTGATGTGGTCTCTCTCTGTGTGTGTCTGTGTGTGTGTGTTAAGTGTGTGTGAGCCTCATTTGTAATGATTAAGTTGCACAGCGAGCTTGTGGTGTTTATGCCCCAATGGAATCGTTTACACGCATGCCAGCAGCTTATGAAAGAAGAAGAAGACGAAGAAGAAGAAGCAGCAGCAGCAACGAAAGTGAAAGATTAGCAGCAGCAGCTGATTTATATTCAATTGCTGCTTTAATAAAACATACAAAGAGAGAGAGTGAGAGAGGAGAGAGAGAGAGATACATACATGAAATCAAGGAAAAGTAAATAAACCGATCAGCAAATAATAATTAAACGAGCGTATATAGTCCATACAGTACATCTGACAAATATGGCTGACAAAACTGGCTGGCCGAAAAAGGGCAGTTAAGTGCTTTATAACATGACGCTTAAGCACGATATCACGTATACGCCATGTGTGTGGCGTTCGAAAAGGCCTGAGACGCTCGCCTGACTGCCAGACGGACAGACAGACTGGCAGCAGGTGCTGCCGCTGCTGCTGTTGCTGCCGTTGCTGCTGCACAGGCGTCAGGAGCACAAAATATGCTAATGTCAATTATTTTGTGCGTAATTTGCTTTCATGCTTCAAGCACATATCAAATTTGCTCCCACCTCCACTCCACACGCCCCCCATAATGATGAATATTAATTTTTTTTTTTTCATTTCGCTCGCATAACACTTAGCACAATGCGCTAATAATTTCATGAGCTCTAAGCGACACGAACAGCAATCGACAACTTATCTAATCTGTGCATACAGATTATATACAGATATACACACTTGTATACATATAAATATAAATATAAATATGAATATCTATCTATCTGCCGATATACATATTCCTGCTGACACCGGAAAGGTGAGACTGGCTTCAATTAACATTCGTGCACGTAGACGCAATAACGCAAATGGATTTGGGTTTCATAAAAATACGTTATTTATGGAGTTTACTGCCGAGTGGGCGCCCCTTTTGGCAGGTTTAGTTTATTAATATGCTCGCTTATAGTTAACAATTGCGATTGGCATTCAAATCAGCTGCTAAAAGGACACTCCACTCAGCGCACAGGATCGCTGCCATCGGACAGGTGGTGATAGCCTGAATGTGAATGTGGTTCTGGAGCTTACCTAAGGCTATGTGCTTCCTCTTTGAGTTGAGTTGTATTAATCCGGCAAAACTGTCAGGCAGCGTGTAATCCTATTAAACGTGGCTACGCTAGCTGCTGCCTGTTGGCTCCTGTCTCCTGTCTCCTGGCTCCTGGCTGCTGGGGGCTATACCAATGCCACCTCACTCTCACTCGCACGCCCTCTAAGTCTTTCGCTCTTTCTCACTCTTGATTTTTCTTTCTTTAGTATTTGAATTTTTTCACTTTTTTACACAATTATTTAAATGCGTGCAGTAATTTCAAATGAAATTTGAATATGTATTTTTCTTATTGTGCCGCGCATATTTTTACAAACACTCACACACACAAAGAGACGGCATGCACACGCACATACACCGAGAGCAAGAGGGCTGTGAATTAACAGCAAAAATGGCGTTGATTTTTGCACTTTAATTGAATAAAAATTCAAATGTTGATGCTGTGTATCAAAATAACGCGCGCGCCAACTAACAGACACACGCACACGCACACGTRCACACACACTGTCAAACGCAAAAAGGACGAATAACGGAACAGCAGCGGCAGAAGCAGCAGCAGCAGCAGAGAAACGTTGCGCGCCGTGTACGTTCGCATGCCTGGCTAACGGCGCAATGAGCGCCTGTGGGAGAACACAGAACCAAAGGCGAATGCAAATGGCAAAAGCAGCACCAGACGCAGCAGCAGCAGCAGCAACAGCAGCAGTTGCTGTGGCAGCGGCAGCGTTCGCAGCAGYAGCAGCAGCAGCCGAGCAGAGCCGATAGCAGACGCGGCGAGAGCAGCTTATGTGCGTATGTATGTGTGTATGCGTGCTTTTCATTCATGCTTAGCAAGAGCTTTTTGTGCGAAAGCTTTGCGCGCATAATAGAAAACCTGTTGCTTGCTTTTGTGCTACTGTTGTTGTTGTTGCTGGCRATTGTGATTTTTGCCAGTGTTGCCATACGTCTAGCAGCTGTTGCCAGGCGGCGTGCGAAATGGCAACATAAATTAATTAAATTGATGTTTAAGCAATGGCATGCTGTTATTTTTGTTGTTGTAGTTATTGTTATTGCTGAGCCTGGTTTATTAACCCGCCTACAGCGCGATTTGCCTGACACATTGACAAATTGCTGCAAATCCAAATATGAGATAAAGAATCCTGGAGACTGAACTTGATTAATGTCGGTCTGGCTGCCTGTCTGCGAGCTGTCCCCGCCAGCCGTGGCTCTGGCACAGTTCATTTGATTTGATCGAAACATGTCGCCCGGCCATGCCCAATAGCTCAATTAGTTCTTCTTTTATCTACTAGAATTTGTTGTCTAATTGAATAAACATTTGCATTTACATGTTGGGGGTCTGAACTCAAACATCTTTGAAGTTCATGTTCAGTATTTTGGCACCTGCTGCTGCTGCTGCTGCTGCTGCTGCTGCTGCGTACGTGTTCGATTCGCTTTATAGTCGCATGCACATATGATGATTATTGCTTTTTTGTCTCTTCATGTACGACATACGACATGCTGACAAAGGCATGGCAAGACCAAAACGAAGGATAAGCCAATGCTCATATGTTCATTGTCGCAAAGTTCAAATAGTTCAAGTCGAAAGTTCAGTCACCAACCCAGAAGCCAAAATCCAACAAGTGGTTAGTTATATATATATATAAATATATGTGTATATATGATACGTGTATAATATATATACTTTTACTTGAATAGTCAGAGACACACACACAGAGAGAGAGAGAGAGAGAGAGAGAGGGACGATAAGCACTGAGCCTGTGGAGCTGTGCATAAATTTAATTTTTATGGCGCGCCTAAAAGCATGCAATGAAATACTCGCATGTGTGTGTGTTTGCTTATGCGTACGTGTATAAGTAGTCACAATAGGCTCTCGCACAATTCACAATTTGAGTAATTTGTTATTCAAACACATTGCGAATCGATTATACGCTTGGCATGCTCCCACCAATCGAGCAAATATGTTGATTGACTTTTGTCAAGGCTTACGGCTTTTGTGTGTGTACGTGTGCTTTTGTCGCCGTGCAAATGGCAAATCTGTCAAAGTGTGTGTGTGCATGTGTGGAAATGCCAACGCAAATATAAATGAGGAAATGCGGGTAGTCAGGCGGACCACCTTTCACTTTCAACCTAAAGCAAGTCATGAATGTGCGTATGTAATGCTTGGCTGACTTTATGTGCGCGTGTGTGTGAGTGTGCATGTGGGTGTGTGAATGTGTGATAACGAAGCATTTGCTGCTCATTGAAAAGCTCATTATCACACTCACACACACTCACACACACACACACATGCAGCAGCAGCGCTCAGCCGAAGGCTACATTTTTGTCATATGAGTAGAAGAAATGTTATCAAAATGGGTTAAGGTTCAGCTGATGGGCACACTTCCCGCTTGAACTATAGATATAGATGTATATATATCTAGCTGGCAGCTGCTGGCTGCTGGCCCAAGCATCTCAATGTCAGGCCATAGCCTTTACCTGGCAGCAACTTGTTGAATTGAATTGATTGCCGCATTGAAATTTAATTGCAATTGCACTTGGAGCACCGTTTGAATGTTAAGCGTGCGCAAGGACATTAATTAAGAGCGTCGAGCGGGCGAGCAGCTGAGCAGCCCCACTGAAGTGGCTCTGATTGCGTTGGCTGCCAGCAGCAACAGCAAAAGCAGCAACGGCAGCAGCAGCAGCAACAGTTGAGCCRGCTAAACGATGGCCTGCATATTAATTAGAATGCTGAAAGGAAACGAATAAAATAACGTCCCATTGCGTTGCCATGGCGCATATGCAAATATTTGGCGCATGCCAGTTGCTTTATCCACTGCATGAAAATAAACTGCAGTCCATAAATACACAAATAAACGAAGTCTTGCAATAGAATATATGAATGCCGTTCGCTCTCCTTCTTTCGCTGCCACCCCCTTTCTTGTTCTCTCTTTCTGTGTATTGTGCGGCCCTGTCAAAAGGTTAAAGTTAAGCATGACAAATTGCGCGGCACTGGGGCGTATACTTCATATTGACAGCATTATGGATATAGCATACATATATGTATGTATATGTATATGTATATATATACATGTGTGGGTGTATGTATTGCCACTACATTTGTCATGGCTCAACGAGCTCTGCAAATCCACATAATTGCTGTCATGCCACGCCAGCTAGCTCTAGCCGTAGTCCTCGACCAATTACTGCAAATCAACTTGAATCGGTGAAATTTTTTAATCAGCTGCGAAAGTTGCTTAATTGAAAATTTATTTTTAGTTGTTTAAGCGCTATAAGTGCTCTCTATTTTAACTCCTCCACGCATAGTGAATTGGCTTAAGTGAATTTATGAATATAATAATTCGCTGTCTATCTTTCGGTTTGACTTGAAATTTGATATACGACTACATACTCAGACCAAGTGTGACCTCACCTTAGATGTTTTGGAATTTCAATTATATAATCAAGTATATCAAGCCCATTTCTGATAGCTGACATAAACCTATAACTATATTAATTCCATTTAAATTTTAAACAATTAGTTTACTTTAATATTTTCAATAACTTAAGTTGCTGATTTAAGATTATGGAAACAGTTGTTTGGACTGATTATAAATAGGTATATATATGTATATATTACAGCTACAATATTTCAATAAACAAACATTATTTGGACTCTTAACAATATTTGAAATTGAAATTTCCTTCCCATTACTTTTGAATTGACTTGAGATGCTGCTGCAGCTGCTCGCAGCGCAGGCACTCTCTGGTGAGCTGCTTGACAGCCGTTGCGTATTGGCGCTGCAGTTCGAGCAGGCCGAGCAGCTCCTCGTTGAGCTCGTCGCGTCGCATGCGCTCCTCGTTGTACTTGTGACGCACCTTGTCCTGGGCGCTCTTCACACCATCGACAATCGTCTCAAATTGCCGTATAAAGTCCTCGCGACCGTGCGGACTGAGCATGCCCTCGTTGTAGGCCTCGCAGATGGAGTTGAGCAGCGATAGCTCCTTTTCGAGATAGCGCTTCTTGTCGTTCAGTGTGTTGTAGAGTGTATAATATTGCTTAGTCTCTAAATGTTTGGCACTCATCTCGTTATACAGCTCGTGGAAGCGCCTCTGATACTGCGCCAGCTCTGTGCGATCGGGTATTGCATCTAATTTGCGCTCAATGGCCACAATGCCACGATTGCGCTTGGCCAAGAGCAATCGCAGCTCCTGCAAGCGCTGCTGCTCGCCCGCTATTGCCGCCGCCTGCGCCTCCGCATCCTGTGCATTGAAGGCCTCCAGTTCACTGTAAAGGACATATAGTTAGTATTCCCTCTCATCCATAACATTTTGGATTGCCTCACTCAATTTGCTGCTGCAAGTTGGCCAGATCCGCTCGGCAGCTTTCCTTGAACTCCGACTCACTTTTCTTGAGCTCATCGTGTTGCTGCAGCAATCCGCGCACCTTCTCCAGCAGACTGCAAGGATATATCAATTAGAAATATATAATACTGATATCAAGCCAAAACTTACTCCGTATCTGCATTCGCTTCCGTTTGTTTGTATGCATCCAGTTGTGCCTTGAGCGCTTGCAGCTTTTGTTCCTGCTGCTCGGTTTGTTGCTTTTGTGCTTCCATCGACGCTTCCAGCTGCTCGTTGTCTTTGTTGTAGCGTTTGATCTTATGCTCCAGCGCCGTTTTGGCCGCCTCCAAGCGTTTCTGTTGATTCTGTGATTTGAGCTCTTGTGCATCTGTTTCCATTTCCATCTTAAATTCCGCATAATGCTGTTGCAGTGCGCTACGAGCCACGGGATCTAGATCGACGCGTCTTGTGGATTCCTTTGTGATAGCGAGCTGCTGCAGCTTTCTCTCCAGCTCGGGCTACATTGCACAATTACATACAAATTAATATTTATGTGAAATATACAGATAAACTATTCATGTTTAACCTCCGTTTCCATTTGCTCTGCATTTGAGCCCATCTTCAGATCGCCGTACTCCATTAAAGTGAGACGCACGCGCAATGCATCATCATCGCTGTTTGCCTCCTGGCGTTCGTATAGCCTTTTGGGGCTGTACAGCTCCTGAAAAAATTAATTGATCTTTAGTTTACATTAAATTTGAGGAAACTGCCCAAACCTGTATAGCTTTGATGTTAACGGCGGCATAACGTATTTTTGTTAGATTATCTTTATCGCTTTTATACTGATAGTCATTATGGAATTGACCAATTGCAAATCTCTTCAGGCGCTGGCCACGCTCCTCACGATTTTCCACCTGCAAATACGAAAAATGATGTTTTATAAAGAAAACTCTACTATGTATACGTGCGTTTGTTTGTGTGCTAACTGCTGCCCTCCTCCTAGATTCTCAAAAATTCAAGTAAGCCTAACAGAGTCTGCTCGACGAATAAGTGTTTTTTCAATTGTGTGGAGTACTGTAGAGTTTGTGTGTGATTGTATGTAAATGTACCACTGTATATGTGTGAGTGAGAGTATATGTGTGTATGAGAATAAATTTACGCTCCCTGCCTGCATACTTATATACAGCTGAGCATATCAACTTACAGAGGTCTTTACAAGCCATTGAATAACTGGATGTATTGCTAGAAACTCCAGGCCCTGCACCTGATGAGGTTCCAAGCTATGCGGGCACTTCATGTCAATCAGGACAGCGACAATCTTCTCCACAAGCGCGCTGCAAATGGGAATCAATTAATATATGTATATGTATAACTGATATGGCTGCTCTAACATCTTTTGCCCAATCGTTAGATTTTCATGGAAGAGTAGGTCGACGTCGACATCGTAATCGCAGCACTCGATGCACCAGGTCATCCCGCCCACAATTTTGTCGAAGGCGGATAAGCCCTTGATGCGTGCTCTGTAATAGCCGGCAGCGACAAGCATATCAAATGTGTCCAACTCTTTGGCGGCAGCATCTGAATCCTCGCGGCGTTCCACCTACAAAAAAAACTTGCTATTGGATTTGTTTACACACAAAAACTGTATATAGCCACCTGGATTTCGCGGCCCTCCGCATCGTAGCGCGTTGCCAACTTGACGTTGGGCAAGATCTTGGAGAACACATCGCGATTAGCCATGTACGATAATAATTACATACTATTTTAAATAAATAAAAGCCGRAAAAAGGCAGAAATGCCCATTGTCTTACAGTGAGCCACAAATACAGAATAAAACCATAAAGAAGTGTGTGAACACTAATCAAACCTTATCGAATTAATATCGTTGGTATTTTATTATCGATTTCATTCATATTTACTTATTTTAATGTTGTGTACGCACTGAAAGCCGGCGCACGCTATATTTGATTAAAATGCATTACTACGTTTGCCTGCATCAAGAGGGCACTAACAGCATACCTAAATTAATACAAAAAGCCCATGCAAATAATTACAATGTGGTGGCCACATCGATTAACGCAAATATGCTTCCATTGGATCCACAAGAAACGGATCCCACATATCCGGCCACTGTGTTGAGTGCTGTCGAGTGGATCTCCAAGTTGATATTCCAGGTATCCGATGTGGATGTGGACTCGCCCAATGCAAAGTTTCGTGAATATTCGAAAGCTATGCTGATGCGTGATGCCATTTGGGCAGAGCACTTGCAAACTAACGGGAACATAATGGTGCGCATACGAGGACCCAATAATGACAATTTGGCGGAGATTATTAACTCAAGGTCGAAAGGTTTGTTTGTCTGTGATGTTATATATATATTTCCTACAATGAGTATGTTTTATATTTCAGGCAACTGGTTTATAAATGTGCCCATTACCAATCCAGAATTGGCCAGCTTTGAACATCGAAGAGATGCCACTGAATCAGAGATTGAAGAGGCTCAACAGGTGGATCCTTGGAATTGGTGGAACGAGCTACGCTTTGCTATTAAGCACAATGCCAGGACGAAAGTTGTGGTGGAGCTGAGCGACTCGGATCGGCCTAGTCGTGAGTGCGTACGCCGCTGGCTAGGTGAACCCATCGAAGCCATCATCATTCCATCCAGTTTATTTGTGCTTAATCGCTCCAATTATTATGTGCTCCAGAAGGAGTGGCAAACGATTGTGGGTCACTTCATTTCTATGAGAGCCAACATTATTATCTCCACGAAAATTAATGATAAATCAATAGGTCAATATTCGGAATATATTAAGAAACTCATCAACGATCATGGAGATACGCACAAGCTCAACAGGTAAACATGTAGATCTATTCACTCAGTTGTTTACTATAATACATTCCTTAATATTCTAGCTATGAAAACATGTTGGAAATACCGCTACAGCCGCTGTTCGATAACCTGGATAGCTACACCTATGAAATCTTCGAAACCGATCCAGTCAAGTATAAGCTTTACCAGGAAGCCATACAGCAAGTGCTCTTAGATCGCGTTAGCGAAGCGGAGGCTAAACGCAAACTGGTTAACGAACAAAACTTTTGCCATAAACCAAAGTTATTTATATGTATTTCTCTTTTACAGACCGTCGTTATGGTTCTGGGAGCTGGTCGTGGTCCTTTGGTACGTGCAGTATTCAATGCCGCGGAGATAGCGAAGCGGAAAGTGCGCGTCTATATTATTGAAAAGAATCCCAGTGCCATACGCACACTGTCCAACATGGTGAAGACGTTGTGGTCTAAGAAGGGTAACAAATGAACCTAATAATCCTTATACTTTATATACTAACATTTTATGTTTTCCAGACGTTCATATATTCTCTAAGGATATGCGTGATTTTTCGCCTCCTGAATTGGCCGACGTGCTTGTCTCCGAGCTGCTAGGTTCATTCGGCGATAACGAGCTCTCACCCGAGTGCCTCGATGGCGCCTTGAAACTACTCAAGCCGGATGGCGTTAGCATACCCTGTAAATCAACATCATATATTAATCCCATTATGTCTGCTGTGCTGCATAATAATGTCAGCCAACTGACCTCCACTGTGCCGGCCTTCGACTCGGGCTATGTGGTGCTGCTCAAGAACATTTACCACATTGATGAGCCGCAAGCGTTGTTCGAATTTACGCATCCCAATCGGGCGGCGATTATTGATAATACGCGTCACAAAAAGCTGTCCTTCACTGCTCAAAAGGATTGTGTGCTGCATGGCATTGGCGGCTACTTTGATACTGTACTGTATAAAAATATAATCCTAGGCATAAATCCGTTAACGCATACGCCAGGCATGTTCTCCTGGTTTCCCATGTTCTTTCCAACGGTAAGTAGGAGTAGCTCAATTATATAAGCTCTGTGCTTAAACTCAATTTTATTTTGCAGCAACCGCTTACAATCAAGGCAGGCGACACAATTTCCATTGAGTTCTGGCGCCGCGTGGATGCCGAGAAGGTCTGGTACGAATGGAGGGTTTGCGAACCGAAAGAAAGCGAGCTACACAATCCGGGTGGCATGGGCTACAATATGCGTTTATAAACATAACTGAAATATTGTATAAGGTGGGGACCTGTACAAAACGGACGTTAGCTTTAGCTATAAAACCAACCATTTTGTTATTTTAAATTAATCCCCTGAACCCTTCGAAGTTCTCATATTCTACTACATTCATTTAGTTTTACTCTGATTTCCCATATTCAATGTAAAAAACAAATGTAGAAAACATGATGAAATAACAAATGTCATAGAAATTCCTTGTAAAGTTTTCTTAACTTAAAAAAAAAAAATTGTTATATAGCTTTATTAGACACAATAGGTCAAGATTCTTCGCTGATCCATCCACCTGCTATTGATCTCGATTTTGTGTTCTCTACACCCATCTAGGCAGCAAGGCCAATTCCAACTTAGATATATACAATAAGGATGGTATTTTACAACATTATAGTATCTTTATTACACAACTGTAACGGAAAACGAAAACGAAACCGAAAATGAGGTGGAAAAAACACTCAAAGCATAAATTGTCTGCGACTTTTATTTAAGTTTATATTTGAAAAGTTTATAAATATGCTTATACTTATTTATGTGTCCTTAAATATCTGTGGGGTTCTCTTCTTGTTGTAAAATTTAGTTAATAATTTCCTCTTTTTTACGTTCCTCTCATTTATTTAATTACTTTTATTTATATATAAAGCGCTGCACATGATCGCAGAACGACATTCTTTAAGCGAAGGCAATTATTTTACGGTTAGGTTATAATAGATTAAAGCGGAGCTAAACTGAATCATTGCGGAAACTGGGCGGCGATTTTGGGTGTCAGGAGTTAGGAGTTAACAGCGCCAACCTGAGCCAATGTGGCACCGCCGGCGGCACCGCTGCCACCACCGCCGCGTATTGCAATCGCACCCTGGCCAGCCCTGATGGGCTTGGCAATTTGTGCCTGTGGTCCTCGTCGTCCCAAATGCTTTTGTCGCACCGCCTCCTTGATGCGATCCACCTCGTATTGATAGCGTTTGCGATCCCGCATCGCACCCTCCTTGGCCTCCTTCAGCGCCGTCTCCAGTGCCTTCACACGTTCCATTGTTGTGCGCAAGCGCTTCTCCAGTTTGGGCAGCTCGCAGCGCAGATCGGCATTGTCTCTGACCAGTTGCTTGTGCACCTTGGTCAGCTGATCGAGATTGTTCTCCAGGAAGGAGATCTTTTGCTTTTGCGCCAATGAGCCGCCGTCCTCCTCGCTCTCCTCGTTCACCACATTCTTGCGAATGCGTTGCTACAATTACAATTACAAAGATCAGTTAGTGTGCACAAAGTGAAATAGATGGATGGGAATCTACCTGCAGATCCTGTACGAAGAGTTTGCGTAGATTGTGCAACGTTTGCAGCTCCTTGGCGACGGTGTCCTCCAGACCCTTGAGGTCCTTGCGCGCCTGTTCTCTGCGCTCGTTGGTTAATATGATGTCCTGCAATTTGTTCGATTTTTCCGCCTCCTCCTGCTTGAGCTTCTCATAGTCGACGGTCATCTGCTGATGCGCCAGCAACAACTTCTGATGCACATCCTTCATCTCGTTCATTTCGTGCTGCTTGGCGGTGATCTCGTCGCGCAGCTCGGACACCTGTTTAGTGTGCGCCTCGCGCAGCTCATCCATTTGCGAATCGAACATGGAGCGCAGCTCCTCGGCGCGTTGCTTCTCCTCGGCATTCACTGCGGACACATGCTCAGCCGCCTTAAGCTTGGCGCACTCTTCGCGCAGCGAATCGATCTGCTCCTCGAGATTACGCTTCTTGTTCTCGGCCTCGCGCATCGATTCCTGCAGCGACTTCATGCGCGCCTCATGCTGCGAGATGAGCAAGCGATACTCGCCAAGATCCTTTTCGTACTCGGAGATCTTTTTGTTGGAATCCACCTGTTGGGTCTCCATATTGGCGCAACGCTGCGCAATGTTCTTTGCCTCCGTTTTCATTTTGCTAATGTACAGACGCGCCATGGTGAAGTCCTCCTCCACCTTGGTGGCATCGGTGCCAGCTAGCGCACTCATCTTGAGATCGATTGCGGAATCGCCAGGCGCTATGGCCTGACCAACCTCGCCCAGATCGCGCAGTAGATTGGTTAGCATTTCGGTGATTCGTTTCTTTTGGTGTGTGGACATGTCCTTCAGCTGCTGCAGCTCCGTTGATGTGGAATTCAATTGAGATTTACTTTGCTGGAGTTCTTCATTGAGGGCATCGATATCCTTGTTCTTGTTGTCGATTTCTTGCGATTTCTGATCATAGTTGACGGCCAGTTCCTCCAATGCCTGTAGCACCTCCTTGACCTCCTCCTTGGCCGATTCGTTCTCCTGCTGTATGCGCGCCATCTCCGATTGCAGCGCCTCGTACTCACGTCGCGCATTCGCAATCAACTCCTCCTGCTCCATCACCTGTTCCTTCATTTGCTCCGCATACTGGCTCTGCTGATTGATTTCCTCATCCTTATCGTCCAGCTGCTGATAGAGCCGCTCACACTCCGCGGCCAAACGGGCACGTTCATCTGCTGCCACCGACGAGGACATATTGGCAATGGCCGTGCGTTGAGCAGCCGCCGCGGCCGCTGCTGCTGCACCAGCTGCTTGTGCAGCGGCCTCCACATCGAGATTGGGCGTGCTGGCCTCCATGAGATCTTCCATGTTGATTTGCTCCTCCGCCTTGACCGTTTCGCCGGCACGCCAACGCGCCAGTTCGAGTTCCAGTTTCTCCACCTTGCCCTTGAGTCGTCCATTCTTCTCCTTCTCCTTTTCGTAGCGACGCTTCCATTCCTCGGCGGTCAGCTCCTCGTTGACACAAACCACATTCTTCACTGTCTTGGCGCGACGACCAAAGTCTAGCGTTGACTTCGTTTCCGATTCGTTAAAGCTAGCCGGCGAGCAGCAGATGACAATTGTTGTGCGTGCATTGCCACCGAGCGACTCCTGCAGGATACGCGTCAGCTTGGAGTCACGATACGGTATGTGCGTTTTGTTGCCATCCGCCAGCGCTGAGATGACATTGCCCAGCGCCGATAGCGACTTGTTAATGTTCTTTGCCTCATCCAGAACTGTGCCCTCGGCGCCTGTTTTCGAGACCTTTTCGGAACCAGCCAAATCCACCAAATACAGCTTGCCGGACAATTTCTTTTGATTCTCCAGATTCTCCTGCTTGACATTAATAAGGAACACCGAATGCGAACGCGACGAGTGCTCGTTCATGTCTAAAAGGATCATAAATATAGATACGATTTAATTGAATACCTAAGATTTAATTCATATGATCTACTTACTTGTCACGGCAATGTGGCGATTGGATTTGCCCTCCTCGATCACCTCGAACACATCCTCGGGCGAGGAAACAAAACGCTCCGTGGCGCCCTTGACGAAGGGCACACGATTTTTGTCCTCGTGCACGCTCAAGTTCACCTTAGATACATCGAGCAAATCCCTAATCTTGTCCATGTAGATCTCATAGTACGAGACCTTAATGTGAAACTCCAGATTCTCTTCCATTGCGTAGATGTGATTGAAAATGTCATTGACAATGCGTGGAATGATACCCTGTTTCACCGAATCCCCGATGACACCCTCCATTGTGTGCGTCTTGCCGGAGGATGTTTGACCATAGGCAAATATAGTTCCATTGTAGCCGGCGAGCACGTCCGTGACGATCGATTTGGCCGCCTCATTGTACACCTTCTCCTGGGATGCGTTCGGCTTGAAGACTTTGTCAAACAGATACACTTTACCCTATAAAAAGGAAAGAAACACAAGAAACACGAATCTTGAAGCATAGTGTCTATATAATTTTTAATTTTCTTAGTTGTATCTACCACAACAAGTGCTAGCAGTAGTTCCGAACCCCTTCTTGCTTTCCCCAAAATAAAAGCTGCTTTCAAATCATTTTCAACGCATCACAGCTCGTAATTATATGATGAGCAAAGAGGCAGAAGCACAACAAATGAGTGGAACTTGAAAATTAATGGATAACCGGGCAGTAGAGTAAAAGAAAAAGCTGAAAGAGAGCAGTCAGTACGGCGTGTATAGAGATATGAATAATAGCAAAAATGCTAACGCGAAGTATACGACTAGTAAATGCTCTACATACGGGGCAGGACAAAAAATATTTATATATAATTTTTTAATTTAATTTTAAAAAAATTTAAAATA